AATCAAAACCTGCAATTTCCAAACCTCTGGTCGAGCGTGCAATCACAACTTTTATCCATTATCAACTCGAGGTTCTCCTCCACAAAGCAACAGCTGCTAACGAATGCAGACAGATTGCTTCTGAGCCCAAGAGCTTTTCATGCTGTGACATTCACACAAACTACAGAGAGGAATAACTCGAACGGAATTTATGTGTGTGTGTGTGTGTGTGTGTGTGTGTGTGTGTGTGTGTGTGTGTGTGTGTGTGAGCTGTAAAGGCGGGGCGCGTGTCTGATGTTAGAGAGGACACTCAGCTGTTTAACACTGTGACAACTGCAGGGGGAGAGATGACCAGACTAAAAGACGACAGAGGCTGAAGGAACAAAGTATCCTGGAATCCCAGGACTCTGCTGTATGGCTGCTATGGGCATGATCCACCGCTGTGTGTGTGTGTGTGTGTGTTCTTTTTAAGCCCTCTACGCCCTTTTTCAGACTTGTGCTGGTGTAGCCGCGCGTGCCGGCGTGAGCGCGTCGGCGTGTGCCCTCTGCCCTTTTCCAGATGTCGGATGTTAAGCGTGTGCGTCTCCCTTCAGAGCTATAATGAGGTCCAGAGGGACGGCAGCCCTCCTGTCCATCTCTCCGACCAACATCGCACACATTGTCAGGATCCTGACCCGTACCACACACACACACACACACACACACACACACACACACACGCTGATTCTACACGTCTATATTTCAGTGTCAAAAATCAGGCACCATTAGAGGAGAATGGAGGGAGTCTAATTAGGCAGCGGGTTCTCAAAAGCTCAGTGTTCACGTTCCTGTAATACGAAAGCAAAGACTGGACAGAGAGAGACTCACTGGGTTTTTGGGCGACTTCACGCTGACTTTTCTCTGGTGAAAACCAAATTGCACATTTGCTCGTTTTGTTTCCTTTTGCCACAGAAACAAACTCACCACCACCCACTTGTGTTAAAAAACACACACCCTTCATCCTGAAACCAGCCGGAGGGCCTTTTATGAATAAAGGTTATTAGAGCCAACTATATTAAGCTAAAACCAAGTGTGAAAAAACGCTTTACTGAAAAATATTGGAGAAAAAAGGAACAATAAAATGAAATTTTCTCATGTTTATTTCAATTTTTGTCAGTTTAATCTGAGACATGGAGGCACTAAAACCCGGCCCTGGTCCCTATCAG